ATTGCGATTTACCTTTCGATAAATTTTAGTTATCAATATGTCTACAATTAGCGATATAGATAGTTATTTATGTCGTGTTATATAGATAGTTATCGATAATTAGCGATATAGATATAGATAAATTATTATATAGATAAATTTTAGTTATGGGCATGTCGATAATTAGCGATATAGATATAGATAGTAAATCTATATATCGATATCTATCAATAAGTCAGTTTACTATAGATAACTATCGAAAACTCAGTTTACTATATCAATAAGTCAGTTTACTATAGATAACTATAGATAGCTATCGATATATCGATAAATCATCATCATCAATTTCAGCTTATTCTATTATCTCACAGTTATGGTGTAGCCTCGCTTACATATACCCTCGTTGTAGTTGGCATCATTGTTGTCTATTGTTAGCTATGTGGGCCCAAGATATGCCTGCTATTTCTTTTTGGTCTTCTTCTGTGTCTCTTAATTCCTCGTGGGTACTATACTATAATTTTTGTGGTCCATCTGTGGTCCGTCCTTCTTGACAGGTGTCCTGCCCATAGCCATTTGAGGGATTTGACTCTGTGGATGACATCTATTACCTGGATCTTTTGTCGTATCCACTATATTCTTTTACGGTCTTGTTGGTTATTCCCGGCATATTTCGTTCCACTGAGCATTGTGCGACCTGCAGTTTTCTTATAATGTCCGTTTTAAGGTTGATTCTCACTATACCTTCCATATCAGCTCCCTTCCGTTTGCCTTCTGTTTATATAAAATATTATATCATGTAAATGAATAGGACAATACACACTATACGCTCCGTTTCTCTTCCGTGCCATATACTTTCCCTTCATACATGACGGACGGACTGAAGGGTATCGGAAACAGTGTTGTCAAGCTCTTACATTTGTAGCAGCTCTGTTAATATTTTGCTTATATTTATTCATCCTTAATAGTCTAGGAGCTAGCCCATGTCACGTGTGCCGTTGTATGTCCCCTAAATTTTGTTGCAAGGATTTGTTAAGCACCTCTAGGAGTAATTGACAAAATTGGTCGCCATATTTTAAAATGGCTGCCAAATTCTAAATTTTTTTTGACTATCTATATTTCCGTAAAAAGTGCTCCGATTTTGTATTTTTAAAGATCAACTTACTCCTCTTATGAAGAAAAAAAATGTAATTAATTTACTGACAAATTTATTAGTTATTGGGATATTTTTAACATTTGCACTTAGCGGAGGAATTTGGAATATTTTCTTTAATTTTATTGAAATTACACATTCTTATGAGTAATTTAAAGAATTATTTATTGCAGTCATACTTTGTTGTTTGGGTATCCCGGAAAAAAGATTCTGTCACTGCATCTATTCCCATTTACCTGGGTGGCGTTGTTAAAGATGGTCAGCCAAGGTGTTTCAGTATAAAGAATGGCAGAATTGAAGAAGAACGTACGTTGGAATCTGATCATGAAGAAGCGGATGACAGAATGCTAACCCATATTTCTCATATGACACTGACTACAAACGTAAAGAACTTAGTTATTTGTTCTACCGGTACTGATGTTTTTGTTAGTGCACTTTACCACTACTTGCAGAAGTGGAAAAGTACAGGACTTAAAGAGCTTTATGTTGCCTTTGGAGTAGGAAAAACGTTTCGGTATATTCCACTTCACTCGTTTGATGGCAGATTACCACTTAATGTTTTAACAGCTTTACCTGCTATTCATTCTTTAACCAGTTGCGACACTACAAGCAAGGTTAGTACAAAATTAGCAGCTCTGAAAATAGCAGAATCGTATGCTGAAAAGCTCTTGTTAGAATTTGGTAAAGAGCCATTAAATGAAGAAATGGAAAAACACGCAGAAACATTTTTGGTTCGTGCACTTTCATCACCACTTGAGTACAATAGATAAGTTGCGTTTCCATCAGTTCCATCATAAAAAATTACGAAACTTTCAAGATTTGGCCCCTACTTCAAGATCAATCCGTCTTCACATAAAACGGAGCTACTTGCAATGCTACAAATGTTCAAATGGATTCATGCTTTGGAACCATGTGAAAAACTTAATCCGTTGAACTATGGTTACATAGAAAAAGATGGTATTTTGATTCCACAAGTAACAGACGACCCAAAGAACCCTGAAGACTTTCCTAGTCCATGTAGTTGCCAGATGTGATTCAGAGAAACTGTATGTCTCTGTAGAAAATTAAAAATAATGTGTTGCGACTTTTGTAAATGTAAAAGTAGTGTTTTAGACCAATGCAAGAACCCTCATACATAAGTTAGTAAGTTTTCTGCTTAAACATCTTAATTTTTTGCATTTGAAAAATTATACTTGGTTGGCTACGTCTCTCGTAGTATCGAACTATCCTTATCTCTATAGTATCTTTGTGAAATACCTATGAAACATTGAAAACCAACGTTATACTACGATTCACGATGGTGTTTGCTGTTCACAGGTCACAGCACAGCTTTTTGAGTTTTTAATGCCACTTATTCACAATTATCACGGGTTTGAGTAAATAAGACTTAAATTAAACTCACAAGATAGCAATAATTACTTTGAAAATGGACGCTTTAAATACTTTTCTTTTAAATATACTTTTATTATTTTGAAACGAGTTTTTCTTAGTGTATGTATGTGATCAATCGTGCTGAAGCCGCTTCTAAAGCCTGCTTGTTCTCGTGGTTCTGCAGCGTCTAGCATGTATAGCGTGTTTGATATATTGACGTATCGATAATTTTGAAATCAAATATTGTTATTCGATATATTATATAGATATACATTCGATAGTTAGGTACCAATATATGGGAAAAAACTGTCCCTAATCCTAATAGTAAGTACCTCAACATGTATTCAACCAAAATTCAGATTTTAAAATAGGTAAATAAAAATATACCCACAAAAATAAATTTCTATATATCTATAACTATCCATATATCGTTTTCAATAACAAATTACGATAACTTTTTTTAAGAATCGTAATGCCCATCCCTAATGGATACAGTTGTTTAATACCAAGCTACATATTTAAAATTGACAGTTTTCAATTGAAATATCAATAACATTGCATGTCTAATATTTTTTATGGATGAAAAAGTAACAAAAAAATACGAATAAAAAAGAAAAACATGTCTATATGCATGTATGCACAGAATCGACGATTCTTATGCCAAAGTTCCCTGTTAATTGTAAACAAAAACCAACATGAACTTTGCCACATAAACTTTTAATAAATCTTGGATTAAATTATCGAAAGGACTTTGAATGATTGGAATGAAAAATTATTTGTTGATCAAATTGACCTCTTTGAGACCCTCAGCCGAGACAACAGGGGAACTTTCTTTAAAAAAAAAGACTTTTTTTCAAACGTCACAAAAGTATTAATTTTTGCTACGTGATATAGTATGTATGTAATAAATAATTTAACCGCCTAGGCATAGTAAAGCACTTTTACGCCTAAGCATAAAAGTACGAAAATATATTATTAAACTGACATAAAGTGTCAAATTCAACGAGTGTAAACATAGTTTCTCAATTTACAGGGTGACTCTTAAATAAGTGCAAATATTTTCAGGGCTGGTAGATCTCGATAAAAGAACCTAACCTAACCTAACCTAACCCAGTTATTGAAGTTTTAAAAATTAAAAAAAAAAATTTTTTTTTGAAAAAATTTTGAGAGCCACCGGATTTTTTCTGTATTTGCAACATAGGGAGGTTCTGAATGAAGCTTTAGCATTAAACTTCATTCAGAACCTCGCAATTAGTGGGATAAATTAGTGGTTTCAATTACACTTCAAATTTTGTCTTGACGGGTGCTAATGAAAGACCAAAATGACATTCGTCGCAAATTTTGAAGTATAATTAGTGGAAAAGTTAAAGTTTGTTAACTTTTTCCACTAATTTTAAATTCCTAGGTACCACTAATTTTAACGTTCTGAATGCTTACATTGACATTAGATGAACAAACTTCTATGCTAATTGAAACCACTAATTTATTCCTCTAATTGCGAGGTTCTGAATGAAGCTTTATTCAGTACCTTGAAATTAGTGGAATAGATCTGAATCCTTAATTTAGCATATAAATTATTGTTATACAGGGTGAGTGTTAAATAAGTGCAAATATTTTCAGGGCTCGTAGATCTCGATAAAAGAAACATATTTCCTCTTTACCGTTTTTTAAATAAGTCCAAAATAACCGAGTTATTAAAATTTTTGGCGTAAATTTTGGCAAACGAGTTTTTTGGCTTAAATTTTGAGAACCACTGGTTCTTTGCTGGGTTTTCGTTCTAGTAAATTTAATCCGCTACCTATGTTGCAATATTATCAAGAAATTAGGTTTTTCAACTAAAAAATTTCCCAAAAAAATCCAAATTTTCCAAAAAAAAATCTGAGGTCGATTATTATTACCCCTAAATAGTAGTAATATAATAGGTAAATAATAATAGTAGTAATAATAGGTAGTGTATTTAATTAGCTCTAAAAATATTTGCTCTGTATTGTGTTTAAATGGAAAATTGAAGCGAATTTTAGCAAAGGAATTATTATGAACCATGGTATCAATAAAATATTTTTCTGGGTTTACAACAAGTTACAGTGTAACTAAGCAACTAAATATAAAATATTAGTTATGAATTAATTTAATAAAATTAGCATGTCATAATATATTAGTGTACTTAAATAATTTGATGATTTACAATAGCTTGGAACTCATATCGAACCACTCAATTAAAACAGAACTTTGGAACGGCAATTCCTTACACATATTAACTAATTTTATGACACTATTTCAATTATGTATAACTTGAACACTTAATTACTTATCTATTACGTGGGGTTAATTGCCGAAAAAAAAAATCAACAAAAACCTTATTGTTATTTTGCTATAAATATTTTATTGACCCGACGCAAAGACGGCCTTGAATGCCGGTTGATGTTTTTCCTATTCCAACAAAAAAATACCTTCACACAGAGACATATGCAATAGAAATATTGTACTGTTATCTACTTACGGTGAATATAGTTCTTCTGTCACGCTTGTCTGTTTCTTCGAAACCTACATTCCACTATCGAAAATCCCACCGAACTGAACATGAAAATCGAATTTTATTTTTAAAACAAATTTTATAATGTCGACGCTTGCGTCGATAACGCTGTTAACTGGATCGAATTAATGTACGGAAAATAGTACAAAATATATTTTTGTTTAATTCCGTGAATAGATCTATTATTATATTTATTCTCGAAATAAACAAATTATCTTATCATAATTACACAGAAAGCAGTGTATCATAGAGTTTTATGTACGTTATCAAAATCAGCGGCGGCTAGTAGAATTTTTGATGTAGGTACCTATTATATCTCTGATCTCTGATTCTGGGCATAGGATCCATACCAAATTTAAGTCAATTCTTAAGCCGGCTCCAGACCAAGCAGACAAAACAGCGACAAGACAGAAACATTCATGTTTTACGACAAAGTTGCGACAAATCCAATACATTTATGTGACATTTTTGTTTTGTTTCCAAATTCGGAGACTTTTGATATGTTCCCTTTCCAGTCGGTAAAGTTCAAAGAGTCTGTGTTTTGTCGTGTATTTTACAAGTTGTCGGCGCAGTGTGGGTGTCGTGTGCGTTGCCAAAAGTAGGAAACCAATGAAATCACGCAAAGTTAGTAGGTACTGTAGAGCAGGTTTCGGAAAACTACATGTTACTTTTAAAAACTACATAAACTACATTACATGTAGTTAATGTAGTTTATGTAGAGGGTGTACTTAATGTATGTATGTATGTAACTTTCAAATATCAAAGGTTTGAGGTGAGGTTTTAATCAGTTGAAGCTTTAAAATCACATAATGTATTTAAGAAAACAGATGAAATATGGTTTTAAATATAATATTTACATCATATTATCTCTATTACACCTCATACTAAGGAAAATTATTCATAATATCAATACATAGTTTATTAACGTAGTTTTCATGTAGTTAATGAACGAGAAAAGACGTAGTTTTTGAAGAAAAACTACACGTAGTTAATCAGGTAAATTACGTCTTAATTAACTACTTCCGAACCCTGCTGTAGAGTGCTAGTACTGCTAATATAAGCTTTTTTCGTTTTCCTGTTATTACCGATTCTGAACCGTCCTAGAACTGTGATGCGTATGCGCAGAAGGAAATATGAAGACATTATTTCATTTGCGCATGCGCTGCAGAGTTCTAGGACGGTTCAGAATCGGTAATAACAGGAAAACGAAAAAAGCTATAGTATATGACGTTATTACCGTTATGATCGAAAAAAAAACGGCCTCAGCGATGGCTATGAAATGAAAATCCCTGTCATTTTATACGTAACTTTATATGGGAAATGTTACCTATCGTCATTTTCCAGCCAACTGGACGCCGTTTTTTTCGATCATACGGTATATGGTGGAGTGCTCCATCTTTATTAAAAAAAAGTCAGAGGAGAAAAAAAATTAACGTGAAACACGGAAAATACCTGCAAACTAATAGAGCTTTATAGAGCGCATTTATCATTATGGGAGCGTAAAAACAAGGACTACAAAAATTGTTACAAGAAAGCTGGTGCATTAGAGACGATTTGTTTAGCGTTAAATATAAACTCGGTTGATGATGTTAAGAAGAAATAAGAAATATTAATAGCTATATGTACACTGCTGGCAAAGGAACATTAGCAATAGGAGGTTTTCAATGCGATGAAAAAAGATGGTAAGGCTGCAAAATACACTGCAGTGCAACAGAGACGGATAAAGTGTCTTTTCCGTACCATCGTATAGAGGAAGTGATCATAGAAGTGATACGATGAGAGGGCCTCTGTGGAAGGGGGCGCCGGGCGGGCCTTTAAGACGCTTATGTGAAGGCTACCGCCTACTAATAGAACAGAATCAAAAAAATTAAAACAGGACGGACAGTGTTGCCATTCTATTAAATCAAAATTATATTGACTTATCCCAAATCCCAAATCTTCTAATCCCATTATACATATATCTTCCCTGCTTAATGAAATATTAAATAAAGTACGAAACAATTTGAAAAATGTTTTCTCTAGACACATAACTTCTTTCTAAAACGAAAAGTAACATGCAAAACTTTGAAATCATTTCTAAAATAGCAAGTGCAATTCTATGAAATGCCAATACTGTACGATCTTCCTAGCAGTCGCCCCGACACTAATAAATATTATTCTTCAATTTTGCATTTATTATTTGCCATTCATTACTACTTCTACTAACTACTTGTCAAAAATAGTCTGGATAACATTTTTGATACGATCCTTCTTTAATATTTTATCTTTTGAATGGTTGACACAAACTGCGCGTTTAAATCGCACTTTAATTATCGTACAAATTTCTAGTAAATAGTACATTTTTTCAATTTATCAGTACGGGGTATTTTGCGTTTGTAACAACAATATCGAGGCGTCGATCTTGCCGACGCCGTCTGCGATCGGCAAATCTCGACGTCACGACGGTGTTACGCCACAGTTAAAATATGTTATTGGTCCAAGTTTAGAAATACCTGTTTTAACCTAGGATTGTCGTTAAACAATATAAAAATAAAACTACACGTGTTTTTTATTTATTTACAATCGTTAAGCACATGAGGCGCATGTTTTATTTATTATATTTGCGGTTGGGGGTAATTCGTGTACGTTTGTAACTATGGAAATAATGTTTTTGTGTCAGAATATTAACTTTTGTAATAAATGACGGTATTTAGTAGTACATTATTTATTGTTGGATATGTTACTGGAAAAAAAAACGGCGTCAAGTTGGCTGGAAATGGCGATCGATGACATTTCCCATATAAATTTACATATAAAATGACAGCGATCTTCATTTCATAGCCATCGCTGACGCCGTTTTTTCTCGATCATACGGTATATAGTCACAAACTAATATAGATTTTGGGTTAGTCTGTGATATAGTTTTATTAGGAGTAAAAATGATACTTTATACACAGACGAGGTGTACACAGTCATTTTTACTCCGAATAGAACATGCAAAAAATAGGACGTTCTAACAGAGATAACTACATTCCACAGTAGTTGTCTCTGGTTCTAATCAATGTCACAAATAATTTGTTAAACAATTTCAAACGTTGCGTCCTTGTTTTGCATATACAAGGGTTGCATATACCAGCATATACTTAATATAAAAAAAATTGTATGTGCACTATGTGCGCATATTTGAAATGAAATTTCTAACTAACAGCTATTAAATTGAAGGATTTGAAGGACATGTTTGAAAGTGTAGTTTGAAATGAAAAAAGCAGGGTTGGGAAAAAATTACGATTTTAAAAAAAAAATTAAAAACCAGATTTTTTTGATTTTAATTCAAAACAATATTTAAACCGAATTTCCAAATGATTAGGACTTATTTTCCAATTAAAATCATCTCCTAAATGGCTAAATCTTTATAATAATTCTGCTCGATACCGATACCATTAACAATTTTACCGCGCGTGTCATTTTTCCACATCGGTCACCAATATATTTCGCATAAAAAGTTGCTCGCTTCAGATCAAAAGGATTTTTTTTTCAAATGTCTCAAGAGTATTAATTTTTGTAATTTTAACGCCTATGCAAAAAAGTAAAGCACTGTTACGCCTAAGCACAAAAGTACAAAAATATATTATTAAACAAAAAAATATCAAGTGTCAAATTCAACGAGTGTACAAATTGTTGCTCGATTACTGTTTATATTATTAGCAATGTTTCAAATTGATTAAAAAATTGGAATCATTTTCAAAAAAAAATTCACCGTTTGAAAAAAATATATAGAACATATTTTCTAACAACGATTATAATTTCTCGAGAATGAAGATATAGTCTCTAAATCAGAAGAACCTAGTTCTGGCAGTACACTGCGAATGATATGTATTCGAACAGCGACTTTTTGTCACTTATACATAAATTTTAAAATTTTAGTTTAGCGGTCTAATGGATTCACACGAAATTACTTCAAAAATCGGTCGAACATTTAAATTGACGAACAGATATTTTTATATAGTTTTATCTTTATCACATTTACAATTATTTTTCGATTTATTATCTGTTATATCTGTTATAGAAATATTTTTTATAGTTTTCTAAGACACATTTTTATAACTTTTACAGTTATTTTTTTATTTATTATAAAGTTTCAATAAAATTATTATTTTTATTTAAATCACATGATTAAAATTAAAAAAATCACTTGATTTAAATCACGATTTAAATATTGATTTAAATCAAGCCAACCCTGTAAAAAAGTAATAAATTAAAAGAAAATATTTTTTAAGCGTAAAAAATTGTTTTTACGTGTAACAAATAGTTCTTTATACAGGGTGTCCCAATATTCCGTGGACATAGAACTACTATGTAATTTTAGAATCAAAATAAGTTCATTGGACACAATTTACCTCTATACAAAACTGCTTTGTTTATCCATTAGAGATCATCAAAAATTTCCAAAAAAAAATTCCAGAGGCGTGTTTCTGAACTGGTAGTATATTTCGGCTTCAGAAACACGCCTATGAGGTATTTTTTGCGAAAAAAAAATTTTGAAAATTGGGAATTTTTTGACAAAAATTTGGAAATTTTTTTAGTAAGTTAAAAAACATAATTTCTTGATAATATGACAATATAGGTAGTAGCTTAAATTTACATGAAAGAAAATCCAGAAAAGATCTAGTAGTTCTCAAAATTTAAACAAAAAAGCATTTTTTTTTTAATTTTGAAAGTAAAATAACACGGTTATTTTGGACTTATTTGAAAAACGGTAAAGAGAAAAAATGTTTCTTTTGACTAGATAGACCCCTTAAAATATTTGCACTTATTTCTGGGACATCCTGTATATATAGACTTCATAAAGAATTGTTTAACCATGTAACCTACCAACTACAACTTAACTTTTCAATGATCCAAATAAAAAAAAGCAGAGTAGAATAATAAAGTTTATTGTCACATAATATTTAATTGTTATATTCGTTCCTTATTTCTCTAGATATAATAAAAATATGTCCACTGCTCACTGAACTGAAAACTGGTAAGAACCACAAGTAACATTTCTGTCCAAATACTTCTATTATATTTTGGCAAGTTCCTAAATCAAAGGTCAAATCGTCCTCTATGAAACTAGGTGGGTGTATGTTCTCCAATGTCGTCTCATTTTTAGATAATAAATAAAAATGGTACCAGAAAAACATGAAAGTTACCAGGCCCATTATTACTGCCAAACCATACCTAAAATAAATAATATAGTTCTTCTTAAGTAGCTTTATATCGTTTTGACATATTATGACGTTATTATATATTGTATTTAAGATATACAGGATGTCCCAATATTCGGTGGACATAAAACTACTACGTATTTTTGGAATCAAAATAAGTTCATTGGACACAAATTACCTCTATACAAAAGTGCTAGACTCAAAACTTTACTCAAAGTACATACTCCAGAGTCGTTTGTAACAAAATAAATTAATAATATCGTATTGCTTAAATGAACTATTGTATTGCTTGAATCGGCTTGAGCCTCCGAAGCCCCCGTAGATCAGCCACTCATACGTCGCGGAAGCTCCAAGGAGAACGGTAGTTTATATCGAATTTTTTTTTGTTTTTTTTTGTGGGAAAGAAAATCTTGCATAAGACACCCAGCACTAATAACAATAAACTACTGTCCTTAGTGCCGGGTACTGCCGGATTCTTACCGGCTAAAAAAACCCACACTTCCCCAACGCTGATCATGGTGGAAACCGCTTCCGCATTACTTCGTCATGATAGCTGTCTGTTTATTGTCTTCTTATATCATTTTCCTTTTCCTCTAATATTTGTCTTAATATCCCTGCAGTTAGTTTCCACATTTCCTCTGTCCCAGTGAGATATTTCATCATATTTTCCGCATTGAAAATTGAGCCGGTATGAGTTTTATAATCATTACGAATGTGGTCCCATCTCGTACATCTAAACAGTGTATGTTCTGCGTCATCAATATTTCCACAGTAGTTGCAACTATCTGAATCCCGTTTCTTTCTTTCCGTTAGATACTTCATAAAGCAACCATGTCCCGATAGAGCTTGCGTGACAAAGTAATCAGTCTCTCCGCATGGCCTGGATATCCATTGCCTAATATCAGGAATCAAATTATATGTCCATCTTCCTTTTATTCTTCTCACCCATCTTTCCTGCCACTTGTCGAGTAGGTCTCCTCTTGCGATTTGCTTCTGTACTCCATTGTAAATTTCCTTCCTTTCCTCTATTAATAGGTCTATGGGTGGGACGCCTGCTATTACGCCTACTGCCTCTGTAGAAATTGTTCTGTAGGCACTTGCAATTCTGATGGAAATACGTCTTTGGATCCCCGCGAGTTTTTTTGTTCTGCTTTTATTACTCGTTACGGTGTGCCAGAATGGAACCGCATAGAGTATTTTAGAGTGTATTACGCTACCTAATATTTTTCTTTTAGAGGATCTTGGTCCCCCAATGTTTGGCATGATGCAAGACAAGGCTGTTAATGTTTTTCCAGATTTGTGTATAGTTCGAATTATCTGTTCCGTAAATTTTAATTTAGGGTCCAGCCATACTCCTAGGTATTTGATAGCTTTTGATGGAATAATATCCACGCTCTCTATAGAAAAGCATATTGGCTTCACCTTTCGTTTTGTTGTTAATATTATTGCCTCTGTTTTCTGTGGTGCAAGTTTAAGCAATTTGCTTTCCATCCAGTTTGAAATTCGTTGAAGGCCGGTATTTAGGTCGGTCAAGTTTGCCCCCCGTATTAGAAGAAATTCAAAAATAAATATACCACTATTTTGCACACATTTTGCACAATTTTGCACACCATAAATGATATTTTGCACACTCACCTAAGAGAACAGGGCCATTTTTTAAACGAGGGGCAAACTTGACCGTTCCCCCCCATTTGTTATGAAATTGATTTATTTCTATGTACATCGATTCGGCTAATTTTGCACAATTTTGCACACCTGTTTTTGAATTTTGCACACCTTCCTGACGAAAGTTATAAGCGGTTATATATATATTCCCCTCCATCTGTGACTAAATTGAATTTTGTTTATATCTAACGAATCGGCTAATTTTGCACAATTTTGCACACCTGTTTTTGAATTTTGCACACCATCCTGATGAAAGTTATGAAAGTTTGAAAATTTGCAATCCCCCATCTGTCACGAAATTGAATTTTGTGTATATCAAACGAATCGGCTATTTTTGCACAATTTTGCACACCTGTTTTTGAATTTTGCACACCATCCTGATGAAAGTTATGAAAGTTTGAAAATTTGCAATTCCCCCCCCCCCCATCTGTCACGAAATTGAATTTTGTGTATATCAAACGAATCGGCTAATTTTGCACAAATTTGCACAGCTATTTTCGAATTTTGCACACTCTCCTGACAAAAGTTATAAGAGTTTGAATATTTGAAATTTGTCCCATTGTGTGTGAAATGTCCCATTTAAAAATACATAAGTATGAGTCATATTGATAGATCTCAGCGACGTGAAAAACTGCACGGAACTTAGATTTCACCTTTTCGATAATTTATAGCTTGCATAGAAGAACATTTATGAAACTAAAGATTCTACACACAGATTTGTCTTAGCCCTCTTACTTCCTGAAATACCTGGCAAATTTGAAAATTTTGCATTTTTCGACAACCCTCATATCTCGGTTATCCTATACTTATCGAAAAGGTGAAGTCTGGGTTCCGTACAGTTTTCCACGTCGCTGAGATCTTATCATTTTCAAATATGACTTATACTTATGTTTTTTAAATGGGACAATTCACACACAATGGGACAAATTTCAAATATTCAAACCCTTATAACTTTTGTCAGGAGAGTGTGCAAAATTCGAAAGAAGCTGTGCAAAATTGTGCAAAATTAGCCGATTCGTTTGATATAAACCAAATTCAATTTCGTAGCAGATGGGGGGGGGGGGAAATTGCAAATTTTCAAACCCTCATAACTTTCGTCAGGAAGGTGTGCAAAATTCTAAAATAGGTGTGCAAAATTGTGCAAAATTAGCCGATTCGTTTGATATAAACACAATTCAATTTTGTGGCAGATGGGGGGGAAATTTCAAATATTCAAACCCTTATAACTTTTGTCAGGAAGGTGTGCAAAATTCTAAAATAGGTGTGCAAAATTGTGCAAAATTAGCCGAATCGATGTACATAGAAATAAATCAGTTTCGTAACAAATGGGGGGGAACGGTCAAGTTTTCCCCCCGTTTAAAAAACGGCTCTAGTTTCTCATAGGTGTGCAAAATATCATTTATGGTGTGCAAAATTGTGCAAAATGTGTGCAAAATAGTGGTATATCTCTTTTTGAATTTCCTCTAGTACGGCGGGCAAACTTGACCGACCTCCGGTATTTGGTATTTGCTTTTTTCATGAGAATTTTTTCATCCTTCTCCACTATAGTTTATATCGAAATGAAATTTTGGCAGCATATGTAGGTTAACTGAAAGCATTTTATAAAAATATATAGAATTATACAGAATGTCTCCAAAAAAAAGTTACACATCAAAATTGTGTTTTTTCTAATGGAACACACCCTATATATTAATTCATTTTTGGATTCTAGGAAAAAAATAAGGTGAGTTTTATTAAAGAAGCATATACCTAAAACCTAAGGATTTTGACATATTTCACATTTTGTGAAAATGAAGAGTAAATTTTAAATTTCTATACAGGGTGAAACAAAATTAATATAGAACATTAGTCACTTTTAAAAGCGAGTTACTGCTTTATTTTAAATGGAACACCCAGTATATTTTTCCGGTGTTCAATGGGAAATTTACATATCTTCATTAATTAATTTAATATTAATTATTACAGAATTAAAACTAGTGTGACAAAAATTAATTAAAACTAATGTGACAAAAATTATTAGCTAGATGAAATCAAATGCTCAAAATGCTTCCTTTCCTGTTAACTGAAAAGGTTAAATGAAAAAGATCTTTTCATTTTAAAAAGGCATATGTGGAGTTCGAAAAGCAGCTACAATAATTTCCCTCGTGTTGTTTTGTTTTGTTAGTAATAAGCAATAGTTGGTCGAGTTTTTTAAACACTGTCTTTAACTTATTCCCATAAAAAAGACTAGATAAGACTAGATAAAATCAGGAGCATTTAAGTATTCTATTAGTTGGTGAATGCAGTGTGCATGTTACATGAGAAAAACTATTATATTACTTACGCTGCTGTTATTGGAACATCCGTTGCAACATTCATTCCATAAAAACTTTGCTTCAAATGGCTGGTAGTTGTTCCAATATAATAGAAACAATAATTATATGTGTAAAATATTGTTAACAAAAAGTTTTTATAATTTAAAAATCCAATGCAATTATTAACCCATGGGCAGTGATGATCCATTTTCAAATAACAAGTATCGCAAGTACTACAGTGATGCGTTCTATCAGGTTTAATGTGCATACATCTTACACAGTATCTAAAATAGACTAAAAATATGCTGCGTAAACTACAAAAATAAAACATTATTACCTTATACTCCCTGTAGGCGTGCAAGTATATAAAAGCAAATTATGATCCTCGCAGAAAGTCTCTAGAATGTCATCTTTTTCATCTTCTGTTCTCGAATTTATTAAATTTCTGTGTTTGTTGTTGCTAAACTTGTATTCCAGAGGGACTTTTCCAACAGATGAACACATCGTCGCAAAAAATGACCATAAAAACATAATCGCGAAAACGTTTAAGAAAACCATAAATATAATTCTCAATTGAACCGATTTTACAATACAAAAACAATAATGATACGTATAGATATAGTAAGTTGCAAAAAACAGGAATATCAAAAAAATGGGTGGGAAATGATTTAAAAAGGCAGTTGACATTTGCTCTTACATCAAAATTTTGATTTCCGTGGCAGATTTAGCAAAGCTTAGGCAACACTAATAACAGAAGGTATGTAAGGCGGGAAAATGTAAAAATAAAAATATAACCTCTACTTTCATGTTTATGTTTATATTTAAAAAGATTCAATTGAAAAGTATCCTAAAACGCATATTATGAGTGAAATTTTGAAAAACAAGATTGCATATATTTATAGTGATGACTTAGTTACGCACTGTGATAAATTACCTGCAATGAAAAATAGGGTATGATAATTTTTTGCTTAATTCATAATCTTATTAATAAGAAACTTTGTTTAACTATTTTAAGGCTTCAATTGTACATGATTTAGTTAGAAATTATAATCTGCTTTCGCAAGAAAATATTGTAGTAGTAAAGCCTCGAGATGCAACTGAAGATGAGCTAAAATCATTTCATTCTTCAGATTATATAGATCTTCTGAAATCTCTAAATTCTTTCGACACAAGTTTAGATAACATTGAGGGTAACAATTTACCATTAAATTACCTGTTTGAGCCTAATGAATACCTAACATTTGATTTATTTTCATAGATAATCACCTAGAATTTGGTTTAGGATATGACAATGTAATTATTGAAAATGTATTCGATTTTGCATCTTGTCTGGTAGGCAGCTCAGTTTCAGCTGCAAGATTATTGGCAGCTAAAAAATGTAAAACTGTAATAAATTGGTTCGGGGGTTGGCATCACGCACAAAGGTAAACAAATATTTTTATTATAATTGTTTCGAATCCAAATTCATAAATTCATGTATCATTTCTAAGCCAGATTTTTTATATGTTTTATAGAGATTCAGCAGCTGGATTTTGTTATGTCAATGACATTGTCATAGCCATACAAATTATGTCAAAGTTTTTTGACAAAATCATTTATGTTGATTTAGACATTCATCATGGTGAGTGGGTTACTTGGATTATTAATTTTTAAGTAATTCTAAGTTTACAAACTTTAATATTACTTTCGATAGTCTCTAAACGGAGCTGCAAGCTGACAGAAAACTTCAAAAAATCAAGTCATTAGATTCTGATTTTAGTCAAAGACTTAAGATTTAAATCATTTTCATGAACTTTATGCACAAAACATCCTCCTTTAGAACTTCGTCTGTCATGTTAAGAAATGAAAGTAAATAATAAAGCGCCCCTCTCTCGTATTTGTTCGCACACAAAAAATTTCATTTAATGCCTGTATATATTTTTAATATATTTTTTAAATTTACATTTTTTTAATTGTAAAGTAATATATTACATTTAAATGGAATATATTAACAATTATGTCAATTACAGGATTACAAGCTTGTTTACTAATATTTTTTAAATAAAACGAATTATAAAATTTCGATATATGTATATTTGTCGTAGGTATGAAAAAAGTAAAATATAAAATGGACAAACTTACATACTTACATTGCAATAAAACTTCCACTTTTAGTTTTGCAATCCAAACGCAATATTTCTATTTCACAAATAAAAATATCCGACAACACTAAAATCACTGAAACTTCCGCGGCTGACAACGAAAACTGAAAAATATAACGGCACTTTTTGTTTTGGACCTGCATATCAACATTACACGGTACCATTATGTTTTGGTTTTTGAAATAATATAAAATATCTAATTATAACTTGTAAATTTTAATATTTTAACATGATTTTAACTATTTCTGACAATAACTAATGGCGATTTCGACTGGCTGCACTAAGCCGCACTCAATGCGAACTCGGACAGAATTACAATTTCGACTGGTAAGAGCAAAGCTTCTTAAAGGAGCAAAGCAAAAGCAATGTAAAATTGTGTTCGACTCGCGTCGCAGTGACTCGGTGCGGATTGTTTTTTTGTTCGGCTGCAATAATTTTGGAACCGTCATACATGGTCGGTTCTGTCCAGTTCGCTCCAGCACTGTGCAAGTGCAACTCTTTGAGCAGTTGCTCGCCCTGAGAGCATTCGAATAGAACCGGCGCAGCCCAATCGAAATCGTCATAACTTTTTGTTATCAAGGTGACATTTTAGACGGCAACTGACATATATGTCATAATATTTGAATTTTAAATATGTATGTAATATAATTTAAATTAATATATTGCAACTTTATACTAATAAAACATTGTTACATTCACAAAATACAACAAAGTCTAATAATATAGTTTGAAAACAATGAATATTGAATTAAAATTAAAAACGTTAAGCGCGACGCCTTGTGTCAAACTTCGATGATTAAATTTTCGCAATTTTTACACCATTTGATGACCGGTGGCGCCTCTAGTGTTTGTTCGGGCGGTTGGTCTTTTACTCCCGATTATGGCCATTAAAGAAAAAGTTCTAAAGGGGGATGTTTTGTGACTTTATGTTGAAATTGACTTAAGATTTAAGTCTTTTTGAAACTAACTTGCTCTGTCTGTAAATTCATATTTAAGTTCCATCTTGTAATGTTAATTAATTAATCAACATTGTATGTATAGGCGATGGTGTACAGAATGCATTCGAATATAGCAGTAAAATATTAACTCTATCATTTCATAAATATAGTCAGGGATTCTTTCCAAATACAGGAAATATAGATGATATAGGCCAGTCACAAGGGAAATATTATACCATGAATATTCCCTTAAAAGATGGCGTTTGTGACAAAACCTACGTTGACATTTTTAATGAAGTATTTTCCATGTACGGATCATTACTTAGTTTAAAATTATCTGTGTAATAATTGCATCTATTTTGACAATAGGGTCATAGAAAATTTTAAAGCTGAAGCTTTGGTGGTACAGTGTGGTGGGGATGGCCTAATTGAGGATCCTTTGGGCCAATGTAATCTAACGCTCAAAGGACTAGGGGAGTGTATAAATAAAATTTTAAAAAGTGACCTACCAACTTTGTTTTTGGGAGGGGGTAATATATTCATACATAGATGATATAAGTTTTTAAAAATTATTATTTTAAGGAGGATACAACTTTCCAAATACTGCTAGATTGTGGGCTTACCTGACGTCCCTAATTCTTAAGACAGATTTAAGTAATGATATTCCTGATACATGTGAGGTAAGTTTTCTTGGTACTTTGTAAAAAATATTTTATTTGATGTATTTCAGAATTTTACTTTATATGAACCAAGTTATGAATTGCACATAGAGCCAGGCAGAAGAAAAGATTACAATACCTCAGAATATATCAAGGAATTAATTAAAAATATTAAATTACACTGTACCTATATTAGGTAAAGACATTTTCGAATTTATTCTAGTAGGTAATAAAACAAACTTATTGGTTTTGTAATAAATTCTATTTGTTGGAACTGATTGTTTTGAAGAAAGCGCGGAAGTAATTTCCGTAAGTCCATAGTTGATAAAATGTCCAATTACAAAAAAATATAATTATTATTAATTATTATTTTGTAATAATTTTAAATATAAATAATATATGTGTATTTGTTATAGAATCTTTTGTTTTCTTCATTTTGACATTGCATTTTCAGTTGTAACTATAATATTAAAACAGAAAGTAGTTATACTACAGAAAGTAGTTATACTACAGAAAGTAGTTATTACCGTTGATTAAAGAAATAAGAAGATGCGCAAACTTATGGGCGATTTCGTGACACAAAACATGTCCGATGTAGCTGGCGTTACCGTCAGGCTATCCAAGATTTAGTGTAGCCCTGCGCCGCTGCGCGCTGATAATCGTCTACTGCGCAGCGGATAAAGAATACTGTAGATAGAATACTAGAATATAGAATACTCGTTGCAGTAGACAGTGTTGCCAGAACTACGGATTAATCGGTATATTTAGGGATTTTGGTAAATCAATAAACGTTCTTTAATAACAATTTTGATAAATGTCAATAGTCGTCATTTCCAAGCCAATTACACGACTTTTTTCGATCATACGTTATATTCAGTACATACCTATAAAAAAAATATTTTTGATGATTATTCTATGTTTAACACGAATAAATCTTCAATGCTTTGGATACTACTTTGGATTTTTTATCCAAGGATATTTTCGTCAAACGTATTACAGATATTCCACATTTCAATATGGCAACACTGTCGCTTTCAGTTCCACCTATGCCTTCGCTAGCCCAATAATTAGAAATGAGTGTTTTATGCGTTGGCCGCAGAACGAGTAAAGGCTCCACCGTACAGCGCTTGAGACGTAAGAGGAAATCAAATCAGCCTTGAAACAAATTTGTCCATTAGGTTGCGTATCTTCCAAATTCTTTCAATGAAAGTTATTACCCAAATATTGAAGATGTATACTGTTTTATAATGAATGTAGCTTTCATGTTATAATATTGTAAGGTGTTTTACGCCATGATTGACAAACTTAAAAAGACGACTACTAGACTAATACAATAAATAATCTTAAAATCTACAGTAGAATTATTAGATAAGTTTACAATTAAAAAAAATCTTACAAATATAAGTGTTTTTGTAGTTTTATTCATAATAATAAGTTGATGAGTATACTCAATCACTTGCAAAATGTTCACACTTTTTCCTTTAACATATTAATTCATATTAATTTTATTGCACTTACATCCATATAATAAGCCAATACTTAATAACACTATATTCTATCAATGTTTTAATCATTATGGTTATTGTTAAAAATGTATTTAAAAAATTAAAGTAGTTCCAATATTAAGTATTTATTTTTCTTTATGAGGTGCCTCTAAAAAGAAAGACGAAGATACTAAATTTTTTGACAAAATCATCTGTCGAATATACTTTTTGACACAACCGGTATATTTCATTAAAAAAATTTCTGTGACGATTATTAATAGATAATGTCTTTACGGCCAATTAAAAAAATACTTCTCTTAATCTATTACGTAAATTTTGGTTCCAACACAGAAACTAGACTAGCTTCTACGTCCCACTAGTCAACTCGCATACCCAACAATGTTGCCATTTGTTGTCCCTTAATTTCGCAGTTCTGCACGTGGATAAACAATAATCGGTCTGGTATTTCGCGTGCAATCTAAACAAAAAAAACTTACCCCAGAGATTAACCAACGCAATCAAAAGACGTCTACGGCGTGTTTTGATTGCGTTGGTTACCGACAGCTGTGAATAAATTAAAAAAAAATAAAAACAGTTGTATATAAAAAAATCTATATTTGTGGGACACGAACTTGGGACCTCTCGATCCCGAAGCGACGACCTAACCAATGGATCCACAGCTGCTCTTGCAAAATTGGCTATAGCTAAAAGGCTCATTTACATTTGTCACTTTGGATGTGCAACTTGGATGAATCATCCAAAGTGATAAGTATAAATTGCCTTTCATTACTGTTTCATCCAAAGTGTACACTAAAATTGAACGATGAAACAAGTTGACAGTCTTCCTACTTTTGTTGAAAGAAGCGTTCAACGAACCGTTGATTCATCCAGATTGAACGGCAAGTGAAAAATGTAAACAGCCGCCGCCGACCCGTGCGGCCAACCTCGATATAGAAAACACTGGGAGAGGTGGCAGCCTGCGGTAGATGAAACAGTGAACTGCTGCGAACTGGATGAAAATATGTAAACAAGGATGTTCAATTTGGATGAATTCAATCTGAAGGCTCATTTACATTTGTTACTTTGGATGAATCATCCAAAGTGATAAGTATAAATTGCCTTTCATCACTGTTTCATCCAAAGTGTACACTAAAATTGAACGATAAAACAAGTTGACGGTCTTCCTACTTTTGTTGAAAGAAGCGTTCAACGAACCGTTGATTCATCCAGATTGAACGGCAAGTGAAAAATGTAAACAGCCGACGCCGACCCGTGCGGCCAAACTCGATATAGAAAACACTGGGAGAGGTGGCAGCCTGCGGAAGATGAAACAGTGAACTGCTGCGAACTGGATGAAAATATGTAAACGAGGATGTTCAATTTGGATGAATTCAATCTGAACGATTCATTTTGGTTGTAGATCCAAAGTGACACAGTGTGCTTAAGTGGGACGTAGAAGCTATTGCACAAGAACGGTTTTCTGCTGTGTTGGAACGAACCTAACGATCTTACATTGTCGTACGAAATTGTTGCAATTTTTTTCAACTGTCAAAAAGATTTAGAATCAGGATCCAGATTTGATTAAAAAATAGTACTAAATAAAAAATAACGGCGGTACTACTTTGAATAGTAATTTATAAGTTTCCTTTAAAAAACGGCGTTAATACATTTAATTCTCACTCGTATTATTATTGAACAATTAGCGATCCTAGAAAGCACCGATGTGTTTAAACTTATTTGATTAAAGATCTTGTTCGGATTTTTGACAATCTTTGCTTTTTGTAACGAATTTCATAATTTGAGTTTCTTTTGCCACCGCCGAAAAGTTATGGATTTGGTCCGAGCCAAATTTATAAAGCATTATGGCTAAAAACACTAGTATCGCTATTTTATGGAAATCGCTTCATAGATGTTTTCATCTGAAAAAACAAACATTAAAAATAAAATTGTATTACATAAAACTGGTGACGATATCTTTTGCTAAACTAAACAAAAAACAGTTTGTGGATACTGCATAGTATATTACAAAAGCCGGCTTCATAATACAATTACAGCAAAAACAAAACAAAAAATTGTGTGTCGAAATTACTGTGCGATCAACACATTATAATCAACTCCATAAGTTTTCGGAATACTGGCAACATACCAAGCGACATGAAAAAAGGAACACACATATAACAACATGCATCGGTGAAGGATGAAAATAAAAATTATCAACTTCATAAAATTTGTTTATTATTATTTTTGTATAAACAAGTCTGACAAACAATAATACACACTTAATAATGTACAATCACTACAGAAATTTGGTAAATTAACATAAAAAATTGCACCTAAAATTATAAACAAACAATACGCTTTACGAATGATATACGTATGTACAGGGTTTTCAAAGATATCTAATGCCATAAGTGCCGACTTCGCTGTTGGAGGTAGTAAAAATATTTTAATATAGAAGTCTAAAGATCTTTAAAAAAACTTAAAATATACAGGGTTCCATTTGATAAAAGTGAAGTTATAATTTTTTCTTAACTTTCTGACCGTATTTTCTTTATTTTTATTTCACTTTATGGCGATTCAGCTAAAACTTTACCACTTTTACATTTAAAGTTTTTTACTACCTCCAATTAGTTAGCCTGCATGTATAGCACTAAATATCTCTGAAAACCTTGTACGTATATTTAAATAAAAAAAATAGTTTTCTTTATAGTGCTGTTTAAAAAATACTGTATGATCGAATAAAAACGACGTCACAGTAGGCGTAGAAATATCATTTCAGTTCAAACTTACGTCCCTACCGCTGTTCATGTTTAAAATGTTGAAACTACAATATAAATAATATAACCTCAACCTGAATTATTACTTCTACGCTTACTGTGACGTCACTATGAAACAGAAGCGTGTTAATAAAATTTTAGAATAAGCCCTTTTAATTTGATTGTGTTGTTAAGAATTAAAAGTATAAATAAAAAAGGTAATAGGTTTTAAAATAATGTAAAAATAAATAATACTACATAAAATTATAATTTTCTAAGATTAAAACTCTATCTACAATATTACGTTATAATCATAGGTAGGGGGGACAATATAGCCAACTTTTTTTAAACAGTACTTTGTTAAGAGAATTTATTGAATAAAATGGGGCGTTGCGCCAGTTATTAATTTAAAACAGTCAGCTACATGGCCAGAAAATCTTTTTAAAACTATATTAAACGCTTGGTTATTAAAATATGCATTTTAAATTTTAACACTATTAATTTTTAGCACATATACTATATTAATCTTCGCGCAACAATTATTTAAAATAACGTTGTGTAGTTTTATGATTTACCATACTTTTAAATAACCTTTTTAAATAACAAAATCATAAAATTAACACAACGGTGGTATAAAACAATTAATACGGAAGAAGACATTTTTTTGAGATGGAATGTTGCTAATATTAGAAAACATAAAAATTTCAATATATACGATTTGTAGCAAAAAAACTAAGATCAGCTTGTAGAATATTGCTAAAATGCAATAAGCAAAAGCTGTAGTTATGAATATTCGTTTGTCTAATATCTTATCACATAAAATCACCAGCATATCGTTAAGTTTATGCATTGATACATTGTAAAGTCAGGGTTACTCGATATATGACATTTAAAAAGCATCAATTTATCACAAAATATAACCAAAATAAATATTCTGCAGAATATCAACTATCTATGGGATATTCTACATACAGGGTGGCGCACCTCATTCGCCTCGGTTGATTATACGAAAACGGAAATGTGGGGAGGGAATGTGCACAATATAAAATTATTTTGAAATGTACAGGGTGTTTCAGAACTAATTCCTGCGCTGACTTTTAAGCCAGAGAAATAAACTTTACTGAAAAAATTGATTGCTTCGTTTAATGTATACAGGGGTATCAAAAATTGCTGGTCTATTTTAAATATTCATTTTACATAAAAACTTCGTTATTTCAAATACAACTCCCTGTATTTTATAAAATAAATCGAAGCAGATTCAAATGCTCTCTCAAACTGTATTAGGGTTTCCTATACCTATCTAGCTCAGATTTTGAATAAAAAGCAATTTTTCAATAAAATGGCAATCAAGATGGCTGGTGTCGCCATGGCAATTTCTAGTTAAAGTTAGTAACTCTTTTCAAAATCGACATTAGTTTATGGACATTATTATTTAGATTTATAACAGTTTACTTAAATTTAGCTACAGTAGTTTAATAAGTAAGTATTCATTATTTTATCAAGAAAAATAAAGCAGTATCTGCTGGTGGAACGAATGGATATGTTACCAGTGATTTTATTTTGTGAGGAAAATTGCTTCTTGGCCTCAAGGGCTTATGCTCAAAGGTATCCAAATAGGAATCTTCCTGATAACCTTTCCTTGGAAAAATACTTTCCTATTTCGCAGAACTATGGTAGTGTGGTTTATAAAAACCTAGTAGGCAGAAACCCGTCGTTAGAAAATGAATTTGCCGTAATTGGCTCTTTTATAGAAAATCCATATAAGTACTTATCTACAAGTGAACGTAAAATAAATAAATAAATAAAAATAAATGAAAGAACTACTTCGTTTTTCTTGATAGAATAATAAATACATATTTAATAAATATTATTGAAAAAACTATTGTGTTCAAATTAAACAAAAATAAACTGCTACAAATTTAAATAAAGTCCATAAACTAATTTTAATTTTCAAAATAGCTACTAACTGTCACTAGAAACTTGACATCAGCCATCTTGGTTGACATTTTATTGAAAAATTGCTCTTTATTCAAAATCTGAGCTAGATAGGTATAGGAAACCCTAATATAGTTTGAAAGAGCATTTAAACCTGCTTCGATATATTTAGAAAAATACAGGGTGTTGTATTTGAAATAAGGAAGTTTTTATGTAAAATAAATATTTAAAATAGACCAGCAATTTTTGATACCCCTGTATACATTAAACAAAGCAATCAAATTTTTCAGTAAAGTTTATTTCTCTGGCTTAAAGGTCAGCACAAGAATTAACTCTGAAAAGCAATGTACAGGGTGTTAATAATCTATTCTATTGTAGCCTGCATTTTAAAATATCTTTAAATATCTTAAAAACCAAAGATTTTAAACATATTTAACCTTTATAAGAAATACCTTTTTTGGGCCCAAGAATCCAAAAATGAAATAAAATACAGGGTGTTCCATAAGAAAAAATACAACTTTGGTATGTATCTTAGTTCTGAAACACCCTGTACATTTCAAAATAATTTTAAATTGTGCACATTGCCACCCCACATATACTCATAAAATATTTTGTTTCTACATCTTTCCGTTTTCGTATAATCAACCGAGGCGAATGAGGTGCGCCACCCTGTATAATATGGATTAATAATTTTGACAAAATCCTAATTTAACATTACATATGCGAACATTTGGCATATTTTGTGATCATTTATTTTTGTTCTAATTGACATTGACATATATCTGTTAGATTAAATTATTTTTAATTAATAAATCCAAATAACTGGAAATTGCCTCGTAGCAGAGCCATCATATAACAAGAAGAAGAAATCCAGAGTGTCATAATTTATGTCAACAAATAAGGAAACTTTAAAAAACTAAATACTTGATAAAGGAAATAAAAATTCTAAAAAATATGTATCAGATTCTATATTAAAATCTTTTATAATAAATCGTAAAAACTGCTTAAAACATGCTTGAATCAAATTTTAAAAATTAATAACAATATTATTTGAAAATAAATATAATTAATCATGTCACAAACATGCATTTTACACTTTGCTCCATTTTATAAGAACAAATTATTAGAATAATAACAGATCGTTTACTTTTAAATATCTGAATTCTTAGAAAGAGAATTAAAAGAGAAGGAATATTATCAAAATAAAATAGAAGAATCTAATATACAGGGTCATTCACCTCATTTGACACGGAGAATTATAGCCAAATAATGAGATCGTTGCAGGTCTACTAAAAACTTTCAAAAGGTACAGAGTGTACCAAATAAAGAAAAAATATTAAAGTTGTATTTTTTTAATTTGAACACCCTGTATATTTTTACATTTTTAGTTTCTACGACTAAAGTAAAGGCAAATTTGATTAAGGTTTATCGCACTTTATTCACAATACCGCAATATTTAGGATTTTGTGAAAATGCCGTAACAATTTTATTAATTTTTTTTTGGATTTAAAACCAAATATTGTACTGAAGTTTTTCTATTTACTAAATTTTGTGTTGCAATAATAAAAATTATACTACCTAATACAGAGTGTCTAAAAAATTATATTAGATATATTTACTAGCTTTAAACGGTAATAGTTTAAACGCACAGTTTAATTGTCATGAAATTGTATTATACAATTTTTTACTTATCTTTTCAAGTTTTCGTAGAAAATGCATTTTCTTGTAATTTAGACAATATTATCACCTGTGTTCCTACATCTTTAAAAATAACCTAAAATGTCAATATTCCACGGGTATATTGATAAAAAATGAGGTCTAAATTATAAGAAAATGCATTTTCTACGAAAACTTGAAGAGATAGGTAAAAAATGGTATGATACAATTTGATAGACAATTACATTGCGCATTTGATTCTCGTAAGATATACAGAGTGTTCCATTTAAATTAAACAAGTTATTGACGATTAAAGCTAGTAATTATTTAAAATTATTTTTTAGACACTCTGTATAAGGTAGTATTATTTTTATTATTGCAACATAACATTTAGTAAATAGAAAAACTTCAGTACAATATTTGGTTTTAAAAACTTAAATACGCCTAGAGATTGAATTGATGAAGCATTAAAATAGTTACTGCATTTTCACATAATCGTAAATATTTCAAAAACGGTAAGATTAAAGCGAGGAAAACCTTAATCAAGTTTACCTTTATTTTAATCGTAGACA